GTCCTTTAGGATACTCATAGTAGTGTTGATGGTTGCAATGTCTTCCTCTGTGGTTTTAACTCGGTCAGATACCTGTTGTATGTCTCTTTTTAACCAGGGCTACATCAGCTGCTAGTAGCTTCTGCTAGTAGCTCCAGAAGTGCTTTCAGGTCCCCTTTGGTGGTGGGGCTGAGTCCCCTGGTGATACTGGGGGGGGGGTAAGTTCAGCCTGGGGGGTCTGTGTGTCCGGGGATTTTCCTCCGATTTAGTTGTTATCAGAGAGCAGGTTGAAATGGCGTCTTATCAGGGTTGCTGATAATTCCACTTGCAATGTTGTTTGTACTGGTTACATTGGTGCCAGCTACTGATACATCTTATCAGCTTTCTTTCTTTCTTTCTATTTTATATCCATTCCTTATGGTCAGCTGCCTTCTGTAAAGGACATTTTCAATCTGAACAGCAGGGATAAGCAGCATAGGGGAAATGTACATACCGGTAATTGCAAAGATAAACATGATATGTGCAAATTGATCGATGAATCCTCATTTTAAGGAAGGTGATAAACAAGTGATTGCACTAAAGCAAGAAATTAGATTGGAAAACACTAGAGTTAGAGTTGAGAGCATGAAATACAGAAACAATATGCTTGATGAAGGCAATGCATATGTGATGAATTTTGTCTCATTTTATCCTTTGCCATTCTGTTTACTTTACTTCATTTGATGTTTTGACATACCTCATTAAATTTCGGTGTTTTAATTTGTTCTCCTTAGTAAACACGACAATATCTTCTGTAGCTGATGCATTAATGGGCAAACAAGTAATATAACAGGACATGCGTATGCATTTGTTTGTGAGATTTCATGATATTGGTACTATAAAATAAAGAAAAAATATTGAAATTCTTAAAATAATTATAGATATTTGTTAAGTATGCATAATGATTAAGTCACAACCTCAATGTGGCAGTCCACTGATGCTAACATAAGAGTGGTCAAGACACCGCCAGATTGGAATATAACTCAGTCTCATGATAGGAACATGTAACCTGATTCTTATCCAATATTATGTGGTTTGCTCACATTTTGAATATGGTGTTTAATGCCTTTGATGCTTAGGATCAAAGGTTCAATCTAAGAGCTATAACCACATATGATTATTGACTAATTTGTGAAACTGACAAAATTAGGCTTTGGAGCAGAGGTTATGATGATTGGTGCTGGGTGTGCACTCAACATCAAATGTCAGAGAGTCAGGGACATTATTTAGACATCTAAGCACTGGTTTCTGATGAGCAGATCATGTAAGTCCCTTCCATGTTGGTATTGACATACCAACTCAATGCTATAGGTTGGTATACAAGCCACCAATATTAAGTATAATATACTTTCTTATTATTCTATGTGCACCCCCCTTGTATTCTTTTTTCTATCACTTTGTATTTGAGTGCCATTTAGTGATTTTGGGCACTGGGGGTAGTTGCATATTCTCTGGCTCTGTAGCGCCAATCCACCATTTCTTGTATTGTTTTTATCTGTTGTTTGGAAATCACTTTGGTGTGGGCTGCTTTTGAAATATGGCCATTTTTGAAAATCGGATTAAATGGCAAGATTTTGTTGATACTAGATTTCAGGAAGAGCCTATGGAAGATCCCGAAAAATATGTTATCAGTGATAATCTAGATGAAATGTGCTCTTTATTAGAGAAGTTACTAGCTAAAGAGCTAAAGATAAAATGGGAAATCTATACGATGGAAAAGTACTTTAAAGATGAGAACTCCCCGAGGTTTAAGATTTACGAAATATCCCACATTTGATAGAGAAGATAAAAGGTTCATTGATATATGGGAACATGCACTTGAGTCTTTTGCTATAACAATGATGAGGATTGTCATAGAACAAAGAACAAAAAATTTGGAATCTCTTGATAAAATTATTGGAGATATTCGTAAGAAACTTGAACCATTTATCGGTACCAGTGATTTTGAATCTATCACGGGACAAATAACTGGGAGGTTAAATCAGCTTGAAAATCAAGTTATCCAGAATAAAAAGAAAAAGTATTATTGAGATATGAATGATTATGCTAATAATTGTATTAGAAAAAAAACAAGAACATCTCATCCAATAAAATCTAAGACATATGTACAAAAATCATATAGGGAAAGTCACCATCAAACTCCAAAATTGGCTGAAGAGAGACTCCCTAAAAAGCATTACCAAAGTCAAGATTGGATAGAGGTAAGAAAGAAAAATAAATATGAGAGAGAGAATCAATATAGAGGAAGATCAGTTCAACGAGATTATAGTAAACTGGAAAGATTTCCCACTATTCATAAGAGGGGAGCTCGAAGGGAATCTGATAACCAAAGAAAAATATTTACCCCACAAAGAAGGGAAACTTTTACATATAATCGTTTCGAACCCATTACTAATTTGGGAGCCAATGAAGAGAAATCTTTTTTAGAGAGGGGTTGGAGAGAACCGCATACGAGAACACCAATAGCGACCAAAAGAAGACATTTAGATATAGAAGAAGGGGAAATAGAGGAGGGAAGAAACTGGAAAGGCCAAAAAGGAAAGATGATGAGGAGATAAGAAGTTTTAATTTATCTAAGAAAGTTTTAAATCCTGCACATATTGAGATTTTAAATAAAGGTCTAAAATTTGCACCTAGTTGTACCTTGGACAAATTTGAGGCATACACAGACATAAATAGATTTATGAGAAAACTTTGTTTAAAAAATTTTTTTAATGATAGACCGAGCAATGAAACAGGGTCTAGTATTTCTCCAACTTCAGTATATAAACAGACCAATCTGAAACAAAAATCTAAATTTTATCCTATTCATCTTAAATCTAATTGTATGAAGGTATTTGAAAGAGCTTGTATTAAAGATATAAAAGAAATTAAATCAAATAAAAGAAATAATCTTACAATTCAAGAAAAGAATGCTATGGAAGATTTAAAAAAAGATACAACCATAGTTATAAAACCGGCAAAGGTGGAGGAATAGCAATTATGGATAGAGATAATTATACTAAAGAAATATATCGTCAACTTAGTGATATAACCACTTACAGAAAACTTGAAAAAAATCCCCAAAATGATATGAAGAAGAAATATGAAAATTATCTTAATCAAGGATTAAATAAGGGTATCCTCTCCCAAAAAGAGTATGCCTTTTTAAATGTTAATCAACCACGAGTACCGGTTATCTACACTCTACCAAAGTTGCACAAAAACATACAGGATCCCCCAGGAAGACCTATTGTCTCCGGGATAGGATCCTTGTTGTCCAACTTATCAAAGTATGTAATACCTCATATCTCAAAGACTCAATGAGTCTATTACAAATTTTAAATAATTTTAAATGGGAAGATGATTTTATTCTAGTGACTTGTGATGTCACTAGTTTATATACTAGTATTGATCACCTCCTGGGCTGTGAAGCTACACATTATTTTTTGGAGATATCTGCACTTTATCCCTCGGACCAAGTTGATTTTATTATGGAGGGAATCTTGTTTATTTTACAGAACAACTTTTTTTGGTTTGAGGGAGAATATTACTTACAATGCAAATGGACCGCCATGGGGACCAGGTTCGCACCCAGTTATGCAAACCTCTTTATGGCTTATTGGGAAAAGAGGTTTGTTTACTCTATGCATGACTGGTGTGCGAATCTGGTCCTCTATAAAAGATATATTGACGATATCTTTTTTATTTGGAAAGGAGAGGAAACACAGGTTTTAGCTTTTTTAAGTTTTTTAAATGATAACCAATGGAATATCCAACTGACCCAAGAGATCAGTAAAAAGAGAATTAATTTTTTAGATTTAGAGATCTATATAGAAAATCACCAAATTAAGACGAAAACTTTTTTCAAGAAAGTGGATGTTAACAGTTACATACATACAAATAGTTGCCATCATCGGCCTTGGTTGGAGAACGTTCCAAGGGGACAGTTTTTAAGACTCAAGAGAAACTGTTCGGATTTGAAGTACCCTCTTCTCATTTATCTTTTTATTGGTACAAGCATATTATCAGACTTTGTGCATCGCAGTGCACTCTGGCATTCCAAACCCCGCACAGTCGCAGCTGTGTAAACCATTAACCCCACATGGTATCGGTCTAATATCTACTATGTGTACATTTGATTATACTTTTGAAGCCTGTGATGCTTCCCAGGTAGGTACACTCCCTTTGGAACTCTCTGCTCGAGGGCACTGTGTTATGTGATGTGCCTAGTGTCTTTGTGTGTTGGTACGGTACACATGAAATTACTGCTTTTGATGCACGTCCGACAAGCTTTACCTATTCTTTCATTTTGTAACAAAACTTGGGTTGGGGGGGGGATACAGAAAGGAAGAAGGGAGGGGGGGAGGGGGGTTCCCTAGACAGCATTTTATACATGTGATGATTTAATCCTATGCATCCATTTGTATCTTGGCCTTGTTCCCATCTGAACCTTGTTCTATGTGAGTGTAGGCATCGCCTTTTCAAGGCTCCTGTTTTACTACCTAATTTTCCGCTGGCCAGCAACTCCATTCTCTGTCGTATCTCATACTACTACCATTTACCCTATTAGCCATTTTTTCATATGCGCTAATCATATCCATTCTATGTGTTATAGCCTCTACTACTGGTATTTTGTTGCTCTTCCAGTTGCTGGCTAGCAGTATTTTTGCTACCGTTAGAATGTTTACCGCTACTTTCCTATGGGGATGAGTTGCTATGCTGGGTATTATGTGAAGTATGTAGTGTTCCGGCTTCTTGGGGAGTGATCCCCATCCTGCTTAGTAGAAGCAGATGGACCGCCTCCCAGTACTCTGTCAGTGAGGGGCATGTCCAGAAAATATGGATCATGGTTCCCTCTCCTATGTTGCATCTCCAACACTTCCCGGACGTACCCGGGTACATACTTGTTAGTCTATGTGGTACCAAGTACCACCTCATTAACACCTTGCAATACGCTTCCCAGAGTGTGAGGCTTTGCGATGCTTTTTTCGTGATTTCCAGAGCCGTTAGCCACTCTGTTTTGGGAATTTGGAGTCCCAAGTCCTTCTCCCACAGATTCATGTATGTAGTTTTATGATTGTCGGGGGCTGCCGAAGTGATTAGTGCGTTGTAACATGCTGAAAGCGGTTTGATTTGTTTGTGGAGAAGTGCCTGTTTAAGCGTTATGTGGGGTTTGGGGGAATGAGTAGTGCAGAGTTGAATGTGCGAGTGCACTATGTTTTTTATTCGAAGGTATTGGAAGATATCTCTGGATGGTAGTTGTAGTTCCCTTTGCAGGATGGGGAATTGCTTAATCTTTCCTCCCTCTAGTATGTCCTGGACCCGGAGTTCGCCCCTCCCTTTCCATCGGCCCATTGGCAAGTCTGGGGATAGTACTTCTAGTGTTTCCAAGGGTGCTGCTAAAAAAAGCTCTGTGGGGTTCACTATACAGGAGCTCCAGTTGTTCCATGCCCTTAAAAGAAACCGTGAGCTCTGCAGTTGTTTCCCCTCTACATCTTGGGAGTGTCCCCCTGCCCATAGGTTCTGTGACAAATCACGGGTTGCCAGACAGGCACTTTCCATTTCTAGCCATACGGGTTTACGGGTGGCGGGCGCTGAGCGTAAGAGCCTGAGTCCCTGCGCTAAAACGGTTGCCTTATAGTAAGCCTTGATGTCCGGCATGCCCAGCCCCCCACTTGTGCCTGGGAGCCCCAGCACTCCCTTTGCCACTCTCGGGGGCTTCCGTTTCCATACATGTGCGTTTATTGTGCTTTGGAAGAGTTTTAAAAGTTTGGTGGGGAGGGCGATGGGCAAGGTTCTAAACAGATATAGTATGTGTGGCAGCACCATCATTTTAATAAGGTTAATGCGGCCTAACCAGGACACCTCTAGACCTTCCCATTTTTCTAGTGTGGTTCTTATCTTTTGTATAACTGGGTAGTGGTTTTCCCGTATGGTGGTCTGAGAGGACTTTGTGAGGTTAATCCCCAGGTATTTTAGAGAGGTTTTACGCCAGTCAAATGTGTGTCGTGATTGTAGCGTTCTGACAGTAGTGCTCGGTAAGTTTATAGGCAATGCTTGCGTCTTCGTTGTGTTGTTCCTATAGTAAGATACCCGTCCATATGTATCGAGCCTGTGTATGAGTTTGGTAGTGAGGATTCTGGACACGTTAGGAATACTAAAACGTCGTCCGCGAAAAGTGCCAGTTTTTTTACACCGCCTGGGGTGTGGAGTCCTTGTACTACTGGGTCGCGGTTTATTAGCCGAATTAGAGGTTCTAGGCTTAGTATAAATATGAGGGGCGAGAGGGGGCAACCCTGTCGGGTACCATTCCTTATCTCTATTTGATTAGATATAAAGCCCGTGCTAAACACTCTGGCCGTCGGATTTCGATATAATGCAAGAATACTCGACAGGACTTTTGAGGAGAATCCCATTTTGAGGAGCGTCTGCAACATATATTCCCAGTGTAGGCGATCAAAGGCCTTTTCGGCATCCAGTGCCAAGATCAGGCCAGTCTGGGACGATAAATTTGCCCAATCTATCAGATTCAGAAAGTGCCTGGTGTTGTCTCCCACTTTTCTCCCTGGGACGAATCCCGCCTGTTCCTCAGAGATGAGATTTGGGAGTATTTTTTTAAGTCTCGTTGCTATCAGTTTAGCGTAGAGTTTGGTGTCTGCGTTTAGCAGGGAAATTGGGCGTAAATTAGCGCAGATTGTGGGGGGTTTGTTTGGTTTGGGCAGAGTCACAATGAAAGCTTCTAGCATTTCTTTGGGCATTTCCCCTGAGTCTTTAATTGCGTTATATAGTGTGGTGAGGGGTGCGATCAGATACGGCGACAATTTCATATAGTAATAATTTGATAAGCCGTCTGGGCCCGGGGCTTTATGCTTAGGTAGGGACTTAATGGCCTCTTCAGTTTCCTGCTCTGAGAAGGGTGCCTCCAGTACGGAGCATTGCTCTCGGGATAGGCTCGGTAAATCTATCTGATCTAGAAAACGTGTGATTCCCAGTTTAGTCGGCTGATGAGTGCCGCGATCCCTGTCTAACTGGTAAAGGGACGCATAGTACAGCGCTAACTCGTTGACTATGTCCTGGGGGTTATATAGTTTTGCTCCCTGCTCTGAGGTGATATAGGGTATTTTCGACTGCAATTTGGTTTGGCGGACTCGCTGGGCTAGTAATTTTCCTGCCTTATTGCCCATGGTGTAATATGTCTGTTTGAGGATCCGCATCCTTTTTTCAGTTTCCACTAAGTGAAGAGAGCTTAGTTTTGATTTGAGCTTTGTCAGTGTGTCGTGCGTGCGTTTGGTGGGTTTATGTTTGTGTGCCTCTTCATGTGTGATTATTTCTTGTTCAAGGCGTGATCTTTCATTGTTGTATTGCTTCTTTACTCTCGCCCCCATCTGGATAAAATTCCCCCTTATGACTGCCTTATGAGCTAGCCATTTGGTGATAATTGTTGTCTGGCAGGTCGCATGGGTCTCGAAGTATTCTTGCGTTTTGGCCTGTATTTGACGGAGATTCCCCGGTGTGTCCAAAAGGCCTTCGTTGAGGCGCCATGTGCCTCGTCCCCTAGCTGGGTAAGGTGTTTTTATAGTTATAATTTGTGGAGCGTGGTCAGACCACGTGATTGAGCCTATTTGTACTCTCATTGCAAAGGGTAGCGTTCTTGTGTCTAGGAGGTATAAGTCTATTCTAGTGTAGGTCATATGTACAGGGGAGTAAAACGTGTAATCCCTCTCACATGGATACAGAGCCCTCCACGTATCATAGTAATCATGCTCATGCATAAGGGTACTGAGATATTGGCCTAAGGCCATAGAGGCTGGCTTTGGTGGTTCATTGTTCATTCTACTGATATCTAGGGATGGGTCAGGGGAGCAATTAAAGTCCCCGCATATGATGGTGTGTCCTTGTTTGTGTTGTGCAATTGTGCGGAACGCCCTGTTTAGAAATCGTTTCTGCGCTTCATTCGGGGCATATAGTGAGACTATTGTTATTTGTAGTCCGTTCAGGGAACCCACCAGAACCAGCAGCCTCCCATCCCGTCTAGCATATTGTTCGGAGAGTGAAAATACCCAGTCTCTATGGAAGTACACGGCCACCCCCCTGGATTTAGTCGGTGATAGGGCGTGATAGTTTTGAGTGTATTGTTTGACGTTAAACCTCGGGGTATTGCGGATGCAGAAGTGCGTCTCCTGCAAGCACACTATAGCTGCTTTAGATTTACTCATTTCCACTGCTGCCAGTCTGCGTTTATGGGGGCTGTTGAGGCCTTTCACATTTAATGTTAGGATTTTTAGTTCGTCAGCCATACGGTCTTTTGTTAGGCTGCTTGTGCAGTTCGTGCGTGTACGGATAATAATGCATAGCAAGTGGTGATGGGGCTGTCCAGGAAGGAAAGGGTCGGGATATAACAGGGATAACAAAACCACGTGTCTGTAACAAAAACAAGTAGAAGTACCCTCTTAACATATAAACAAGAAACGGAGAAGACAGAGAAAGAAGGGGAAACGATACCACTTATTTTTAATTATAGTAAAGATCAAAGACAATTAAAACGAATCCTTAATAAGAATTGGCATATTCTCCAACAAGATCATGAAATTTTGCCTTTTTTAGAAGATAAACCTAAAGTTATATTTAGGGGAGCTAAAAGTTTGAAAAATATACTTACTAAAAGTTATATAGATATATCGAAAATTTATTTTTTAGAACTATACAAAGATACTAAAAAAGGATTTTTTCATTGTGGAGATTGTATGGGCTGTAGGAACCATAAACAAGTTAAAAAGGTAATTAGTTTTAAATTGAGAGCAGGAAATCAGACATATAAGATAGATTCATTCATTTCCTGCCACTCAAAGAATGTGATTTATATGCTCACGTGTCCTTGTGGGCTACAATATGTGGGAAAAACATCGAGATGCCTAAAAACAAGGATACGTGAGCATATTTATAATATTAGGAGGGGTTTTCTGAATCATCATGTATCACTACATTTTCTAAAATGCCATGGAGGGGACCCCTCTGGACTCCAGTTTTTTGGGATACAAGCAATGGAAGCCCACTGGAGAGGGGGGGACCTACAATCGGCCCTGAGCCGTTGCGAAATGAAGTGGATATTTAATTTGGACACCTTGTCCCCTGGGGGCCTTAATGTTGATTTCGAAATATCAGCATTAATTTAATTTTAATTTTAATTAGTTACATGGCTTTTAGATATATAAAAATATTTTCTATAGATATAAAAAAAAATTATATATATAAAAAAAATTTTTTTTTTAGATTTCCATTTTAAAACATTTTTTAAATATTTTTTAAAACATTTTTTAATATGTAATTTTTATATATTTTTTATGTTTTTTAATTGCTTTAAATCAATTAAATGAAATTAATTCATGCTATGTTGTTGTTTTTTGCAGGACCCCTCCCCTCTATTTTTCCCTCTTAATATAGAGATTTATGAATCATACTGTGTGTTATATCTCTATAAGATGAAATGTTCTTCAATACAAATTAAATTTATTACAGTTACCCTCCTCATATTATAAAGATGCTGCAATTGCAATTGAGCTCTTATTTATTTTATTTATATATATGTATATGTGTAAAAATATTGTAAGAAAAAGATCTATTGTAAGATATAAATTGATCTTTTTAGCTGTTTCTGTATGTAAGGTTTTTTTCCCACTTCAAATATGGCGCAAGATGCCAGGACTATTAACACATGTAAAGGGAATGAAAGGAAGATCGAAAATCCGGAAGTGACGTCATGACGCATGAGCACGTGATCGGATGGAAGGTCACGTGATCCGACGGGAGGTCACGTGACGCGGAAACACGGCGAAACCGGAAGTAATGACGGACGCCGGCAAAACGGCGCCAGATTTGAAGAGGAGAATATCATTTAAAAGGAAGAAGACCAACACTCACCACACACTTTGATAAAGACCTGGAGGTCGAAACGCGTTAGTGCTGTGTAATTTGTTATGTTATTTTAGCTTTTTCTGTATCCTTTATTTTAACCAGTAAAGTCATTTTTGATTATTGATACTGGATGTCCTGGAAGTTATTAAAGGGCGGAGAAAAGGAGCAGAGCTACTTGGAAAGCTGAAAATTGAAAGCCAGAATAAGCTTATTATTCACCTGCCACCTAAGCTAGAGCCAGCTTTATGTGGCTCTACACACTGTGAGTGACCCAATACCTGTGACCAATTAATGTTTTGTATATAACAGTGTTACACTATATATGTGTTTTTCTATTA